TCTTGGACCTTTCTCCATTAGTTGCGTCGAAGCACAACTCCTGCCTTTGAACATGCCGATGTTCTTTGGGGTTAGCTTCCTTGGTATGATGCGTTCTCCGTGAATCTCCCCTTCTTGACTCTCCTCGCCCGACCTCTCTTGAAGGCCGATGAGAATGTTTCTCAATTCTGGTGTGCTGCGGGATTGTAGGGACTGTTTTCTGTCCATCTTTCTGGACATCTTTCTTGGTCGCTGGAATCGGCATATCTTGTAGTGGGTATGGTGGCTACATGACGTTATTCTGCATCATGAAATTGACCACTGTTTGTAGGTTCGCCAATTTGTTTGCCATGGCCTTTACCTCATCGTCCCTCCGCAGGCATTTTTCTTTCCATACCTGCAGGTTGTCCTCGTTGTAATACCCGCTTCGGTCCGTTTCTTTGGTACGTCGCCCCCTTGGCCGACGTCCTTTCCTTCGTGATTCTTATCGTGAGTCTCTTTGTTGCAGTTATCTTCTTCGACGTCAAGGTCTATAGGTTTCCCACTCTCAGTAGGAGTGTCGTTCCCAATCTTCTCTTTCTGTCTGTCGATGGCCATCTATTCTCTTTTCTTTTCCACAGACGGCGCCAAATTGTGCTATTGAATCAAGAGTATCCAAGAAGATTAAAGCCACCATTACAACATATAAGAGATTTAGAGATCAATTTTTTTGATATCTAAAAGTGAAAATTTTGTCACAGAAGACATTTATGGATCAATTTCTATAGTCGTGAGGATAATCGCTAAAAGGTCGTTTTAAAAAATCAAAAACAAGACTTTAAGCGACAAAATTTTAAAAATATCACTAATAAATAGACTTTTAGAGATAAAATAATTTGATCTCATAATGATTTATTTTTTAACAAAAATTTGGTCCCAAAAGGATAATAATTTATCACTAATGTCTAATTTTCGTTATTAAAAATATAATGACGATACTTTTTATAACAAAAATAATTAATTCCTATTGAATAATTTTGTTCTTAAATTTGATTTTTAAAATTTCAATTTTTTTTTGTAATCACATTGTAGTGTGTGATTAACAACAAATTTGGTTGTCATTATTTAGAGTGATTATTATTATTATTTTTTTTTTTCACGTAAATCATTGTTCCCATTTTCTCACTTTGATTTATGTGTAGGATTTTTTTTTTTTTATTGGTAACGTGTCTTTAGAGTTTGATCCATTCACCCTTTTTAAAAGTACATGACAACAACCCTCTTATTTGAGCTAATACGGAATGAATTGTTCAACCCTGTTATTTGATACGGAATGAAATGTTCAATCAGACATTTCTTGAATGAAAATGACAACCCCCCAAAAATTTTTTATAACATTACTCAATCCAATAAATCCTTTTCGTAAGTATTTGAGATTTTTCAGCATGAATTATTTTTTGGTTACTCTATTCGTTTAATAACCTTGATTTTAATTGTGTTACCAATTAACATGTAATTATGTACTATTTCATTCAATTTAATTCGGGTTTCTATCGTCTCTTTTCTTCATCTTCAATGTCACTCTTATTAAATGACGTTCGTAACGCAAGCGTTCATCACTGTTATATTATTTGATACGGAATGAAATGTTCAATCAGACACTTCTTAAATGAAAATGACATTCACCCCCCCCAAAAAAAAAAAATTATAACATTACTCAACCCAACAAATCCTTTTCCTAAGTATTTGAGATTTTTCTGCATGAATTATTTTTTTTGTTACTCTAATCGTTTAATAACCTTGATTTTAATTGTGTTACCAATTAACATGTAATTATTTACTATTTAATTCAATTTAATTCGGGTTTCTATCGCTTCTTTTTTTCATCTTCAATGTCACTCTTGTTAAATGACGTTCGTAACGCAAACTTTCATCATTGTTATATTATTGGAAATTTTTTTTTTTTATAATGCTTACAAAATTTACTTAAGCCTATTTTGGAAAGTGATTTTTTTTGAGTTTATTACTGTCTCCGTCCCCAAATATTAATTCTTTATTTTATTTTTCATTATCGCAAAATATTCGTTATTTTTCAAAAATTAAGGATTAAAATAATATAAATTTCCTATTTTTCCATTCTTTTAAATTCATTAACAACACAAAAAATACAATTATGACAATTGATATTTCTTAAAAAATGTAATATCAAAAGATAATTTTTAAAAATCAATATTTTTAAAGTACAATAATTGTACTACAAGAAAAGTTAGATTCTCCAAAATGGACTGTTATTTTGAGACAAAGGGGATAGATTTTTTTGAAAAAATATACAAAAAAATAGAGAAGTAATACGACCCAAAGAAGTTAATAAACTGACTTTTTTCTTAATTGTGAAAAGAGGTCTTAAACTAATACACCTTTATCAGACCTTAGGCCTCGTTTGGGGAAGCGTCCCGTTTAGTCAAAAAGTTAAAAAATCATTAAAAAAAATCAAAAAAACAACAACTCATATAAAAAAGTCAAAAGATTCTCTTTCTTTCTACTTTTTACACATCTTTTCGTAAAAAGTCAAAAAGTCATTTTAAACATATTAATTTTTTTTAGCTCATATTTTAGCCAAATAGTCAAAAAGTTACTAAATTAGCCTGTTCCCAAACGAGGCCTTAAGCTTTGTTTAGGATGATAGATTTTAGTCAAAAAATTAAAAAAACATTATAAACTATCATATTATTGTTTTTATTTTTTTACATTTTTTTTTATAAACAACTAAAAAATTAATTAAAATAGTGAATTTCTATATAAAACCTTAGACTCTATTATTCACTCCGTTTAGTTTCAATTTTCATAATTCACTTTTAAGAAAATTTTACTTTTTACTTTTTTGATTTTCGTTTTTTTTTTCGTTTTCACTAAATTTTTAAAATATTTTAAGCAATTTTTTTAAAAAATTTTTTTAGACACACCTAACCTAAATATACTTAAAAAGTATAATAATTGTAAAAAGAATCTTTAAAAAATTCATTAAATACCAAAAATAGAAAAATTCAGTATATTTTTCATATTTTTGTGTATTTATTAATTTTTAAAATATTTTTTTCACAAATATTTTACTATTTAAATACACTTAAGTAAGGTGCATATTAAAAATAAAAAATTGCCTAAAATGTTAAAAATATTCACTATAAACAAAAAAATATAAAAAATTTAATTAAAAAAAAATTAAATTCAAAAAACTTAAACTAAGGACTGGTTTGGGATGCCCTAAATAAGTGCACTTTTTGACTTTTTATAAAAAGATATGTAAAAAAATAAAGAGTAAATATTGATTAATATGACCCAAAAAAAATAATAAGATAAAAAAATGGACTAAAATAAGTTATGCCAAACAAAATTTAAATACACTTATCATGCATATAAACATCTACACGTACACTTATACGCAGATGCTGACGCTAACGTTGGGCAGAGTTTATCAGTGTTAGTAGGACAATGTATTAGTAAAAGGGTATTACTATATAAATCTAAAAACTAGATTTAATTTTTAAATCTAATGATATGATAATTAATTAAGATATTTAAAATAATAATTTTTTTTTTATATTTTCTCTAATCATCAATCAATTAAATTACTTATATATCATTAAGTATAGAAAATAAGTCTTAGAAAGTGAGTTTGTATATTATTTTTATTAATACAATAAAATTATATGTATCAATTGATGTAGTAATTTAACATATTAACGGATAATATAATATAATTTTAGAAATTTTAAAAATTTATAATTTATATAATAAGTAAAATTTATAATTTAAAAATAATAATTTTATAATATATATTAATATATTAATTGATATACCAATTAATATGTATAAAATCACCATATTAGGCCTAGTTTGGAAAGACTAAATAAGTGCACTTTTTGACTTTTTATGAAATATGGGTTGGGTTTGGGTTGGGTTTGAAGTGATGTTACTTTTTAGGTAATTTGTGTTAGGTATGTCTAAAAATTAAAAAAAATGCTCAAAATATTGAAAAAATTTAGTGAAAATAAAAAAATACGAAAAATAAAAAAATAAAATTTTCTAAAAAGTGTTTTTGAAAAATGATAACCAAGCATATGATTTTTGCAAAATAGATTACTTAGGAGTTGTTTGGGGTGTCCTAAATAAGTGCACTTTTTGTCTTTTTGGACTAAAAAATTGAAGAAAAAAATATGAATGTTTTGGTTAACTATTTGACTTTTTATAGAAAAATGTGTATTAAAAAATTGTAAAAATTAATTTGTAAAAAAAAATTAGAATTAAAAGTTGTGCAACCGTAATTATTGATTTTTATGAATAATATTAATTTTTTAACTTTGTGACTTTTTCTTGTCTTCTCAAACTTGTCCTTATTCTGTTTTTCTGTCTCAAGCTAGTGTACAGCAGAGGCTTCAGTGGACCTTCTCGTGGCTCGTGTGAGATCCAACCTGTAAAAACATACAGCCACGTATTCAATTTTAGTTGGCTCATTTTATTAACAAATATTATTTTGAAGGATTAAAAGCACAACAATGGTTATTGTACCTTAATTTGAAGGGTATTATTGACTTATTTTTATGATTACAACCGTTTATTTTATAGAATTTGTAGAGTATTTTATACCTCCAAAAATCATATTAATCGGATATCGATAATTATATGATCGATAATCAAAAAAAATAAACAATAAGTTTTTCTTTTGAAAAATGACATAAAAAATATACAATTCAATCATATAGTTATTGATATCTAATTAATATGATTTTTGGTAAGTACGAAATAGTCAATAAATCTTACAAATAAATAATTCAAATCATAAAAATATACCCATAATACATCTCAAATTGAGACGTAACAGTCACTGCTCTTAATCCTATTTTGAAACTTTATTATAAATTACACAAATCCATATATGCAAATATTAAAGTCAAACCTAACGCCATTTTTATGTCATCTATTTTCAAATAATAAAAAAAAGGGACCATTTTTATATACCATAAAATTAACAATGATGACATATCAATTACACCCAATTGAGGGACCGCCAAAAGCCAGCAAGGTCGGAAAAAAAGCTTCAACAAAGGCGAGCGAAGAGAGAGAGAGAGAGAGAGTAACAACCCATTTCTTCTGCAGTTGTAGTCTTCAAGGAGAGAGAGAGAAGAGAAAGGTCTGAAGAACACGTAGAGAGAGAGAGAGAGAGAGAGAGAGAGAGCGATCGATCTTAGCGGCAACGGAATAGTGTATTTGACAGATGGGAACGCTACAGACATGGCGCAAAGCCTACGGTGCCCTCAAAGATAGCACCAAAGTCGGACTCGCCCATGTCAATAGCGATTTCAAGGTCTTCTCTCTCTCTCTTTCTCTCTCTACATATATATTCAATTCTTGAATTTGATGGGGGTTCTATGATTAGGATGTGGACGTTGCGATCGTTAAAGCCACGAACCACGTTGAGTGTCCACCCAAAGAAAGACACCTCAGGAGTGAGTTTTTTTATTCGCAGATCCATTTTTCTGTTCTCGTGTTTTCCAATTTTGATTTTATTTTATTTATTTTTTGGGTTTTTTATTTTTTTTTCAGAGATTTTTTCTGCCACGTCAGCGATTCGATCTCGAGCCGATGTTGCATACTGCATTCATGCGCTTGCGAGGCGATTGGCCAAGACCCATAATTGGACGGTATGGATTTTGATGTTTTTGGATTCAATGTTGTAAAAATTTTGCCCCAATTGCGTAGATTCGATTTGGGTTTGGCTTGAATTTGGTGCTACCTCATATGTTTAGTGGTTTACTTTTCACTGTTGGTTACTTTACTGTTGATTATTACTATTTTTAAGGGCTCATTTGGGAATTGTCTATTTCAATTGGGGTTTTGATTTTTTACGAAAAGATAAATAGAGAAATTGATGTAACAATTTATAGTGATTTTTTTAGCTTTTTGGCTAAAATCCATGATTCCCAAATGAGGCCTAAATATGGTCATGGATCTAATCAGATGCCATTGTGGGAAACTGGGAGTTTAGTGTTTCTCAATTTACATGCCTGCATATGGATTACTTGAGAAAAATATGTTGCATTTTCTCTTAATCAGATGTCCTGTCTTTGAAAAGGTGAAACTAAAACACTAAGAATTGAGCTATTGATTTGTACCCCAGGTTCATGTGATTGCTCTTGTATTGTTATTTACACTCTGCTATAGTCCAATACAAACTGCTTATTAAGTTATTACCCAACAGTGAATCCTTGCCTTCTTTTCTACTTGGACGATAACAATAATAATGCTCTTTTAGCTATATTATATTTCTTTTACCACCTCTGGGTCTAACTAATTGTCTGTGGGTGATTCCAAAATTTACAAACAATCCACATTCCAGTAACATAGCTTTATGTCTTTACCATTATCAAGTTGGTCGTTGTAGTTCCAATTGCGGCAAACTAGCCATTCATTTTGGACATGGTCTTCATTTGGTCCAATTGATAACATTTGTCAATAGCTTAAATGGAAAATGGTCACGTACACCTCATATGACCACTTTTTAAGCGTAAAAGGTGAACATCATCCAATATTTATGTACACCTCATAATACACATCGAACTAAGCATTGTGTCCTAATCAAGTGGGGTGGGCTATATGAATAATTTTTGTCATTCCACTTTGTCAAGGCTAATTAGTAAGTCAAATCAAATGAATTTATATCTTCCTAATAGTTGCATCTTCAGGTCTTCGTTATACATGACTAAACAATCTTTAAATAATTTTTCTCAACTTATCTTCAATTAGTGCTACTCTTATCATTTCATGAATATATTTATTTCTAAGTTTGCCTTTCTTAATCTTACCACACATCTATTTAAGCATCTACATCTTTGCAAGTTGCAACACACATTTTATGATCATGTTGTTCTAAGAAGCACGGACACTTCTAGGAAGGTGACGTATCCGTGTCGGGTACGTGTCGGACACCGACACTCTTTGGACACTCTCAGGACACGTGTCCGACACTCTTCAAAATGTGTCCTACTGTTTAAAGACTTGGACACTCTTTGGACACTTGAAGGACACACGTGTCAATCATTTAAACACACGTGTCTAACGATTAGACATACGTAAAACTAATTATAAGTTTGAACAAAATAACTAAAGATACAATAATAAAATAAAAACCATATAAATTTATAAGAATTAGTGTCATATTGTATTTTTTATTATCTTTGAATGATATATTCATATATATATAACATATAATAAATATATAAAATTATGTATTTCATGCGTGTCCTCCTCGTGTCGTGTCCTGTATTTTTTTAAAATTAACGTGTCGGCGTGTCCGTGTCGTACTCGTGTCGTGTCACGTGTCCGTGTCCATGCTTCTTAGGGAATACATAACTCTTTGGATCTATGAACTAGAAACAACTTGTCCTTATTGTTTTATTATTGCAGTTTTAACCACCATGCCTTTGGTTCAAATCTCAGGACAAAGCCAAATCTAACAGTTACTAGGCAATCTGAAAATACTATACACACCTAGCACAAAAAACCCCTTCTGGGCTCATAACACAACAGCCATGGTTTTACTACCCACCCTTTGTGTTCACAAATAAATTCTTCTTTTCTCTTTGTAAATCCCTTTTTTCCCTGTGTACGAAGAAAATTTTTCATCTCTTGGTTTTCCATTCTCAATTTTGTTAATATTTGTTGATCACAAATATGATAGAAACACTCCTCCACTTGAACTAATCTACTACAATTTTATAGAAAACACCAGCTTCAACTTTTCAAAGCTAAAGTCTCGTTTGGGAACGGGCTTTTTTAGTAGTTTTTTGACTTTTTTGCTAAAATGTGATGTAAAAAAAAACTAGTATGTTTGGGATAACTTTTTGATTTTTATGAAAAGATGTGCAAAAAGTAGAGAAAAAATGGAATATTTGACTTTTTTGGTATAGGATGTTGGTTTTTTGATTTTTTTAGGGACTTTTAGGCTTTTAGGGTAAAAAGTGATGTTGCCAAAATAGGCCTTAGTAACTAAAATGTTCACTATTTGTTATGCCATAATTTTAATCTTCACTTTTCCATTATTTCTATTTTTATTGTTACAAAAGTATTTTATTTATTATTTATTGTTTATACTAATTAGAACTCTTTTGACTCGAGTGCGTTGCTTCAGATTTTTAATTTAGTGTTAATTTCTTCCTTAGGTTCATCCACTAGAACAATATCATATATGGACAATATATGCCCATAGAATATCATCCTGAATGTATTTACTTATTTCATCCATGACTAAGACTCAGGGACGAATCTTGATGCATGGACTAAAGATGATTTGTAATTATTTATATGGTAGTCATGTATGTTACTAAATATGTAATGCATGGACTAGGTATATCTAGCTTTTTGTTTTTTTCAATAATATACTCCTCGAAGGAGACAACTTTTTGGTCAGGGTTCTATCTATACTTTAAGAGGGCATATTTATCTGTAGCAAAATGTTGAATGCTTGAAAGAAGACAATAATGATCGAATGTTAAATTTTCCCAAAAAAACAAAAGCAATGATAAGGAAATTTTCTTTTTATAAAAAATTCAATAATAAAGAATATTTTCATAAAACTTTAAACGCTATGTTTCTTATCAATGATATGAAAATTTGAAAATTTCAGGCAGTTGCCCTGTCCCTCCTCTCCCATCTGCGTTTACCCTTGCATGGAACTTTCTAATGTGAGAAGTATCAAGTATCCATGTCTGACATGTGAATGCTAGACATGGGTATGGCGTAGGTGGTTGAGACATCTGGTTTGATATGTAATCAACAAGCATATTTGATGACTTAAATTTAATGCATGTGTATTTGAAAACAAACTTATCACGTTTCTTTCCTACATTATTCCTTCTAAATGGCTGAGTTGTCTGTATTGAACGCATGGTGTTACATAAAATCACGATTTTTTCCTAAAGAGATAAGGGAAGCGTATTTTTATTATCCCCATGCCACTAAATTTGGAGTTCACATAATTCCAACACTAGGACACATACCTGAGACAAGTACATGAATCCTTGCTACCGACTAGGTGCTATAGTTTTAAATAAAGAGAAGGATTGTTTTTTGTTATTTATTTATTTATTTTAGTTACATTTTCTTATTACTGCAAAGTAATTTTTTTGTGTCTTCTATATTGACTGTTTTTTTAGTAATATTCATTGTTTATGTGTGTTAGTTTCTCCATTTGTCATCAGAATTTCAGGATCAGCTTTATTATTATTATTATTTTAATCTATGTTCATCTTGTAAAGCTTCAACAAGATTTGAACCATTTTCTTATTTTTGTTTGTCTTTTCCTTATTGCTATGCCCTTTGTTACATTTAAATGTTCCTCTGAAAATGTTGGATCCATGCCAATCAATGTAGCTATCTATATTCTTGATTGACAATTGATGCTTAAAATATAGCCAAAAGTCTAGCTCATAATTATCTTGTTCATACGCTTCTATTTATGATTATTTTTTGTTTTTTGGTCAACAGGTGGCATTAAAGACACTGATAGTTGTCCATAGGGCTTTGAGGGAGGGAGACCCTACTTTTAGAGAAGAACTTCTGAATTTCCAACAAAGAGGACGCATTCTCCAATTGTCTAATTTCAAGGATGATTCAAGCCCTATTGGTTAATTAACACTATATTTTTCTAATTTATTTAAATTATTGTTGACTTGTATCTTGCTGACATGAATTATTTTATTAATTTTGCTTTTGAACGTTTTATTCTTTTTGCTAACTTTTTTTTCCCCTCCCTGTAGCTTGGGATTGCTCTGCCTGGGTTCGTACATATGCACTGTTTTTGGAGGAACGACTTGAATGCTTTAGGATTCTGAAATATGATATTGAAGCTGAGCGTCTCCCTAGACCTGGCCAAGCTCAGGAGAAGGTATGCACCAGATGAGTCAATAATAGTTCTACTGAGAGGTGAACAGAGATTTAAAGGGTTCACAGTTAAAATATGAGATGAAATTGATAAGTAATAGGATTACAATACTCAATGTTCCTTTTTCAATCAGGAGTTCTGTGGCTTTAGTTCTTTCTTCTTTGCATAACCATTAACTATTTGGTTTTCAATTAGAACTGCCGAGGTAAATATAGTTTGCTTTTTAAATTCTTCTTCTTTCCCATTTTATGTGTCACACTATTCATGTTTGGATGTCCCATTTTTTGTCCTGGTTTGAGAAGTCAAAAAGCCGACAGCCAACACATAAAAAAGCTACTCAGATCCCTTATGAACATAAATCTTATTTTGAATCGATTAAATGCTACATCGTTCCCATTAAGTGATGCGTTGCGCCTGCCTTCGGGTGTTTCGAAAAGTCTGGGTGCGGTGAAAAATAAGCCAAGGTTTTCGCTTTTTTTTGGACGAGCGCGGATAAAGAAGCAAGTCCAAGACTATAGGTTTAAGGTAGCTACATGGAATGTATGGACTTTAATTGGTAAAACTATGGAATTGGTAGATGTCATGAGGTAAGAATAAGACAAGGGTCTTGCAGAAAATGTAGTTGCAATCATTAGGAAAGGTGATAGGATTATGTTAGTTAAACTAATTATTGAAGAGAATATAGTAAACGTTATCAGTGCATTTGCTCTCCAAGTAGGATTAGATGATCAGATTAAGATTTTTGGGACCAAATAGATGAGGTATTAAAGGAGATACCCGTAGGAGAAAACCTAGTTATAGGTGGTGATTCAACGACCATGTATGAATAGATAAACTAGGTTATAAGAGGGTGTGCATGGTGGATATGGTTTTGGTAGAGAGAGTATTTTAGATTTTACGTTGGCTTCTGACCTGGTTGTGGCCAATACTATGTATAAGAAGAGAGAGGATCATTTGATAATCTTTAAGAGTGGGTCAATTAAGAGCTAAATAGATTCCTTTTTAGTAAGAAAAGGAGACCGTCTAAAATGTAGCGACTGTAAGGTCATTCCTGGAGAGAGCCTGAAGCCTCAACATAGGATTTTGGTACTAGATTTGTGCTTTAAAAGGCAATACCAAGGTAGGAAGGATAGTGGGTGTTGTAGGACGAGATGGTGGGACTGAAAAGGAGATAAACTAGAAATATTTAAGAATAGAATGGATAAAAAAGATATTTAACACTATACGGAACTCAATGTCCAATTGTATGAGGAGAATTTCAAGGGAAGTTCTTGGAGAGTCGAAAGGAAAGGGACTCAACTTTAGGGAAACTTGGTGGTGGAGAGAGGAGGTTCAAGCGGTAGTAAAGACGAAAAAAGAGTACTTTAAAAAGTGGCAAACTGATAGAACTGAGAAAAACCTTAAGAGCTACAGATTGGCTAATAAGGAGGTCAAAAAAATAGTGAAAAAGACTAAGTTGAAAGCCTATGATGATCTATACACCAGACTAGATAGTAAGAAGGGAGAGAAGAGGATATACAAACTTGCTAAGATAAGAGAGAAAAATAAGAGATTTCAATCAAGTTAAGTGCATCAAGAGTGAGGACTCGAAGGTGTTAGTAAAGGATGAAGAGATTAAGGAGAGGTGGAAGAACTATTTTGAGAAGTTGTTAAATGAGGAACATGGAGGTAGGTCAAAAGGGAGGGGAGGGAAGTAGGCATTAATAAGGAAAATCAGGACTACAGGTTCTATTGCACGATTAGGAACTTTGAAGTGGAGATTACACTTGAAAAAATGAAATCGAATAAGGTTTTAGGACCCAATACACTTAAGAAAATGAAATCGAATAAGGTTTTAGGATCCAATGATATCTCTACTGAAGCTTGGAAATGTTTGGGTAGAAAGGGAGTTGCTTGGTTGAATAAGTTATTTAGCAAGATTTTGTTGACGAGAAAAATGCCAAAGTAGTAGAGGAAGAGTATTTTAGTGCCAATCTATAATAATAAAGGAGATGTTTAGAATTGCAACAATTATAGAGGAATCAAGCTATGTGTCATATAATGAAAGTATGGGATAGAGTGATGGAACGTCGACTGCGAGATATAACGGAGGGGTCAGAGAATCAATTTGGGTGTATACCTGGTAGGTTAACAATGGAAGCGATCTATCTTTTAAGGAGAGTTATAGAAAAGTATGGAGAAAATAAAAGTGACATTCATATGGTTTATCAATCTTGAGAAAGTGTATGATAGAGTGTCGCGGGATATAATTTGGTGGGTGTTAGAAAAGAAAGGGGTGACAAAAGGTTACATTGATGTGATTAGGGATATGTATGAAGGTGTGGTGACCATAATTAGATCGCTTGCTGGAGAGACAAGTGAATTTTTAATTACTATAGGGTTATATTGAGGATCAATCTTAAGTCTTTATCTTTTTCCTTTAATTATGGATGAGTTGATGAGAAATATTCAGGATAATGTGCCATGGTGTATGCTTTTTGCAGATGATATTGTATTAGTGGATGAGACTAGAGAATGAGTTAACACTAAGTTGGAGATTTGGAGAGAAACTTTTGAATCAGAAGGATTTAGGATAAGAACTAAGACAGAGTACATGGAATGTAATTTTAGTAACAGTAATAATGGAAGCAGAAGAGAAGTGAAAATTGAGAACCAAAAACTACCTAAGAGTAAACATTTTCGTTATTTAGGATCGATTATCACAATGGCTGGGGAGATTGAAGCGGATGTAGTATATAGAATTAACGCGGAGGTGGCTTAAGTGGAGGAGTGCGTTTGGGGTACTATACGATAAACGCGTACCCACTAGACTAAAAGGAAAGTTTTATAGAACAACTATTAGACCAGTGATGTTGTATGAGATGGAATGTTGGGCAACTAAGAAATAACATGTCGATAAGATGAGTGTTGTTGAGATGTAAATACTAAAGTGGATGTGTGACAAGACTAGAAAAGACAGAGTTAGAAATGAGTATATTCAATAGAAGATTAGTTGAGAAAGAATAGATTGAGATGGTTTGGTCATATACAATGGAGACCAATAAAAGTAGTAGTGAAGAGATGCGATAGAGTGACGATAAATGGAAGTGTTAGGGGAAGGGGCAGACCTAGATTGACGTGTGCTAGTATAGTAAATAAAGATATTAGTCTTCTTAATTTGACTAACGAAATGGCTTTGGATAGAGTCGAGTGGAGAAGAAGGATTCATGTAGCCGATTCCATTTGATGGGACTTAAGGCTTGGTTTGGTTTGATTTGAAAAATATCACCCTTCTTTAAACTTTTGTTTAAATACAATCATTGCCTACAACTTTTGTTTAAACTTTCTTAAATTGTGCATAGTCAACTGAGACGCATCAAGTGGGATGGAGGGAGTAATAAATAAGAAAGCTAATTGAATGTTGAATGCTTGAAAGAGCTTTAAAGATTCAATACATGGTGTGCATGTTTACTTTAGGGATATGAAGGCATTTACCAATATAAAATTTATCTTTTCTCTTTCTCTGTGTGTGTGTGTGTGTGTATTTGAACAATATTTTAAAACATGGAAGCCTTTGATCATTTGGTGACAAGCCTTGAGATCATTAGTGACAAATACTGTATAAAAAATATTTAAACATAATTAAAGAAGGGAAATAAAATAGATGAAAAGGCAAAGACAAAAATATATGTACCTTTCTTACACATTTTCAAATTTTCTACAATAATATTCTTAATGGGTTCCATAATTCCATTATTGTTGATTTCTAGAAATTCCTTATGGAATGGAATTGAGGGATTGTTGAAAACATGGCTCAATAAATAAACTTTATGTGGCAAATTGAGAAAACAGAAGTGTTTGAAAATTTTGTGCTTACCAAACAAAAAAAAGTCAATATTGGTCACCGAGAAGTTGAAAAGTTAGTAAATAGAAAGCTGATCAGTAAACAGAAAAGTGGATGTGATGAGCATAGTCCGCATGATTTGAGTCATAGAGCATGCAAAGGCACACCCTTATCAAGCCTTGATTTGTGAGCCATGATAAGATCCTTGCTAATTTTTTTGAGCCTTTAAGCCATGTTTGTTTTACTCCATATGTGTTGGGATTTGATTAGCAATCTGGTGGTCCTCACATAAATCGTGTTTGTGTTGCAAAAATGTTATGGGACAACCAATCCCTTGGGATTGGAGTTGAAAAATACAATTTACCCCCACTTTAGAAAAATAACAAAGCCACCTTTTATTTATTGAGGACTTTTATTTAATTTTCATAGATTTATTCCCAACCAACTTGTACAACCATACTAGTACACAAGCCAATTACAAACACAATTTAGCCTCCAACCTAATACCACCACCCTAGTAATTCAATCTCTCAATCCCACCTAACCTAATTGGCAAACAAACACAGCCTTAGGTGCTTAAGAACTGCGCAGGCCTGATGAATCCTTGAGTCAATCTATTAAAACTATGGTTGGAAACTTCTTAATGTACACACACCTTGCAGCACCCCTGATTAATGGGCGCTAACACTGGTTATCTATTGCCTTTTTTTTTCCCCCCATCCCTTCTAAATTCTTTCAGATACTGCTTATGTTTTCATTAATTATGAATTGTAAAGTGAACTTGTATCTGGGATGATATTGAGTCATGGTGACTGGGGTGTCAATTATATTGAAACATTCTGGGTGCCATCTGTTTTTATTGGTCTGGGTCTGACATTTTCCAATATCATTTCTTTTTGCTAATAGGGCTACAGCAGAACTAGGGAGCTGGACAGTGAAGAACTGTTGGAGCAGTTACCCTCTTTGCAGCAGCTGCTGTATCGTCTCATTGGATGCAGGGTACGCTTTCTGAAAACTTAGGATTCATATGCATATAAGTTTCTATTTCTGAGATTGATCTTTGTGTGATTATCTAATATTTTTAAAAACTGTGAATGAAAATTGATTTTACATCTACTTCACAGCCTGAAGGAGCAGCGGTCGGCAATTACGTAATACAGTATGCCCTGGCTCTGGTATGTGTGGTGGTTTATATTTCATGCATGGTACCCAAGTTTAAAAAGAATTGTTACTAAAATGGTTTTCAATGATATTTTAAGGACCGTGTAAAGAAGATAAATTAAGCATCAGCCATCATCCCTGTAAATATAGAAAATGTTAGTTGCCAGTCATTATTCATGAAAAAAAAAAAAAAAAGGCAAAAGAACTTGGTTTTACATAAAAGCACAAATAAAATTTGAATTGTAGTTTCTTTGCTTGGAATTGTAGCTGTCTTGAAACTTTGATTAATTTGTTCAATACAAAAGCCTTGTTGCCGACCCATTTATTTTGACATGTTTGTCTGAAATTTTGTAGCCCCCAACCTCTCTCCCTCGTGTTTGTATGTGAAAACGTATAGTGGGGGAGGAACTTGATCCATTAAATTTGATGCACGTGTTTTCCTTGTAACCAACATCTGCTACCACTGGTTGAGGAAGGAAAAGGAAAAAGAAAAAGAAAAAGAGAGAACATTTATTATGCATTTAACTATCCTATTTTCCTAGTTGATGTGGAATGTAATAATGTATAAATTGTCCCTGACCTTGTCAATGTATGTAATTTCAGGTACTCAAGGAGAGTTTTAAGATTTATTGTGCAATTAATGATGGAATCATCAATCTGGTTGATAAGGTGAATTGCCTTTATTTTCTTTCAAGATTACTTCAACGAGGTGCTATGTGGCAATTTTCACTTAACCATTCTCTTTTTAATTTTTTGGTTCAGTTTTTTGAGATGCCAAGACATGAAGCAATCAAATCCCTAGATGTATATAAACGAGCTGGACAGCAGGTGATTGGTTCTTCTTTCTTTCTTTTTATTTTTTTGAATCACCTTGGTTGACTCTTGTTGCAATTTCCAAATTGACTTTTCGTAGTTTGTTAAATTTAATTGTGATGGACCTGAATATTAGATTTTAGGGTTAAATTATTCAAATTTCACATGTATTACTAAAAAGATTGGTGTTTTCTGCAGGCTCGGAGCCTTGCTGATTTTTATGAAGTTTGCAAAGGTTTGGAACTTGCTAGAAATTTCCAATTTCCTGCTTTGAGAGAGGTGATGATGCTTTGACTGAATATAATATTTAGTTGGTTATATTGTTTTTTTTTCTTTAATTCTACTGTTTCAACCGATACTAACTTGACATTTTGTTCGTCTTTTCCAGCCTCCAGAGTCCTTTCTTGTAACCATGGAAGAATATATTAGAGAGGCACCGCGGATGGTTTCCGCCCCTAGAGAGACATTGGTCAGTGTGATAAATTCATTTGCACTAACAAATTCTTGTTGCACAAAATATTTTCTGAATTGTACTGAACTTCCCTGCCATAGCTATTTTAGTAACCACATTGATTCTTTCTTGTGATTTGTATTTGTTTAACTCTATTACTTCTTGCCAATTCAACTCTGATTTTACAAGTTATTTGCTGTGGGATTAATATATGGTAGTCATTATGAATCAGGAATATCCAGAAAGGCTCCAATTGACGTATAAACCAGAAGAAGTTTCTCCTGAAGATGCAGCAGTATCCATTGATGAACCTATGCCACTTCCTTCAGAGGATGTTTCTATGTCGGATGGTGTGGTTTCTCCCCATCCCCCTCCTCCTCCAACCAACTTGGATACTGGAGATCTGCTGGTAAAATTCTCAACTCTTATTCTGTGTGTGTGTGTGTGAGATAAACCTTCTCAATTTTTGGGTTTTCCAGGGATTATCTGTCACCACACCTGATGCATCTGCAATTGAAGAAAGCAATGCTTTGTCTTTAGCCATTGTTCCGTCTGGTAATTAAGATATGCTAAACCTAATTCCGTTGCATATTATGTTTTATAAGAAAAGTAATAATCTGTATCTGTCCAGGTACTACTGCTTCATCATTTGATTCTGGTGCTGTTCAAGCAAGAGATCTGGATCCTACTGGATGGGAACTTGCCTTGGTCACCACATCTAGCAGCAACGCCTCTTCTGTTAGTGAGAGGCAACTGGTAGGATCTTATGTCTGTTCTGTTTTTTTTTCCCCCCATATTTATATTCATTGCTTTTTTTTTTTTTCCCCATATTTATATTCATTGCTTTTAGCCACAGCATGGTTAGTGTTATTTGCCCCAGAAAATCAGCCTCCCTACATAAAAAGGGAAAAAAAAAAAAAAAAAAAAAAGAAAAGTTGGGGATAAGGTTGCCTACCTACTACCTTTCCCAGATCTTGCTGTAAGAGGGAGTTTTGTGCACTTGGTATGACTTCTACGACCTACAATCATGTCTCGATCAGTATGAATAAAATATGTTACCACTTCTAGTAGACTCTTAAAAATGATGGCCTAAGCATTGGTTATTTTCGTTGTATAGTAAACACATTATTGTGACCTATGTTACATGGATTCTTTTAAATCTGTATATGTAGTATCAGTGTCTAGCATTTGACACTGGACTCTTGAGTAAGGGTATGAGATATGGATTTGACATGCTTAGTTGGACATGCATTCATCAATTATGCCAAGTACTTGAGTTTATTATAATAATACTCCCATTTTATTCATAATGTTCCAAGTTAGTTCGAAAACGCCATTTTACCCTCTTGTTTAGAAAAAAACAAAATTGTAATTATACTTCATCTTTGTTGTTGATTAAAAAAAAATATTGAAGAAATATGAAAGTGTCCTAGTGTCTTGTACATGTTAGATATGAGATTTAGATGAATTTACTTAGCACATATTTGCTCCCAATTTCATGTAACATAGGTTATAAGTACATGGCCAAACACTGATAAACAAAATAATATTAACAATTTTTAAAAAATTTGTCACTTACTAAAAAAGTGTTAAAAAGAAAGTCAGAATTTAGGGAGAGAATTGAGGCGCCTGAGGGTGCGGAAACTAGTTGTTGACAGCTTACATCCAAGGTAAAGAAACTGTACCTATCGTTCCGGTTGTTCTGTACCCTTCAATACCCTGAATGAAATAGGCAAATCTATATTAGAAAATTTCTTTCATGGCCGCTGAATTAAATTGGTAGTGTCGGGAATGTGTGCGCTATGCTGTGAAAATCATATACACACCACTGGTATTATGGTTTCTACTGTTTTATTACTATTACACTTGCAAATGTTGCAAATTCCCTCTCAGATTTCACATATGCTCCTTGACCACTAAATGTCAGGCTGGTGGAATGGACTCGCTCACTCTGAATAGTTTGTACGACGAAGGTGCATACAGAGCCTCTCAGCAGCCCATGTACGGAAGACCAGCCCCAAATCCATTTGAAGTCTCAGATCCATTTGCTTTTTCTAACAATGTCGCCCATCCTCAAGCAATGCAAATGGCAACAATTGATCAGCAGCAGAACAATCCTTTTGGTCCATACCAACCTGCCTATCCGCAGCCACAGCAGCAACATTTGATGATGAGCCCACAAAATCCCTTTGGCGATGCTGGGTTTGGAGCATTTCCTGCTAATGCTGCTGCTCATCCACAAGCAAATAATCCATTCGGAAGCACAGGCCTTCTTTAACTACATGTTGGAACATCTAAAATAGTGTAATGTACCTGGGCATTGTTGATTTTGGTGTATTGAGAGGTGAGTTGAAGCAGCTTGTGGCGTTGTGTATTCCAATCTTTATAGCATAGATGATTTCAGAGCTTGAATCATATATTTTTTTGTACAAGATAGCGCTTTGATAATGAAGATGAAACAATTTCGGTTATGTGTAATTGTTGGTTATGTTTGGCTAAATACTAGGTTTGGTATGTGTGACGTGTGTTAGGTGAAGGGGTACAAACAAATTGGTCATATTAGCCTTAGTTGATTTAGGTGTCAAGGAAGAGATTTGGTGGCCTTTCTCACTAGTAAATGGATTAGAATCTGACTAACAAAAGACTGGACTTTGACATATGACATGTATAGATGGACATCTCACTAGTAAATGAGAGGATAGATTTCTTGATGAATTTTTTTACAGTACGGATTTTATACATTGCTGCATATTCTCTTCGAGGGCCCGAAAACTCTTATTGTTACCCTGTGAAATGGAGTTTTGAGTTCTCTTAAGACACTCTTATTTTTATATATACGTATATATAGTATATTAAGACAGTTCAGTGTATGGGACACTTCTTTAATTAAAATATGATATGAAAAAGATAAAATTTATCAAAAATTAATATCAAAGAATCAAATTGTGTTTATGTCACTCATGAATGAGATTTTTAGAATTCTTTGAGAGCTAAGTGACTTCATGATCCAAATATGATCGAGTAATATAAGAGCTTTAATGTATAAAAATTCTTCAAGTCTCCTTCATCAAAGTTCTCGTATTAAACTCTTTGGTTATAACTCGTCAAAACTTATTTTCTTTGGATTGGTATATTATTTAGGGCCAATACAATAGCATCATGCTTTGATATTGGCCAAAACTTAAATAATTTTGAGCCATTACTTTGAAGGACTCAACATCAATCTCAACTAGTAAAACTACATCATGCCCATGCCCATATAGTAAATCATAAGGAGTTGCTCTAATACTAGATCGTTTTGTAGTCTTGTAACACATCCAATAATGGGTTGTGTCAATGTATTATACCTCTTTGATAAATTTATTTAAAGCTTCTGCTTGTCTATTTGCTTGAGCATGGGGGTAGAATTCATGATATATTTGTACCAAATTTTGCTATGAAAGTTCTTACTGAATTTCCATCTTACATAGTTCCATTGTACATAGTGATTGTTTGAGAAACCCCCAAGCCTAAGAGTAACGTCTTTGACATGCTAAGGTTAAGTTTGGCAAGTTAAAAAAAAGTTAAAAAGTTAAAAAGTTACTCAAAAAGTTAAAAGTTATCACTATTCACCAAAAGTCAAAAATTACGGCTGCACAACTCCCAATCTTAATTTTCTCCTACACACTAATTTATACAATTTTTTAATTCATATTTTTCCATAAAAAGTCAAAAAGTTAATCCAAACATCCATATTTTTTTTTCTCAATTTTTTAATCTAAAAAGACAAAAAAGTACACTTATTTAAGACACCTCAAACAACCCCTAAATTTTGGTCAAGTGACTTGTAAGATTTTGCTTCTACTCACGTACTAAAGTATTGCCACTAGAATGAAGCAATGTTTGCTTCAAAAAACGATGATGAATTTTCGTATTAAATCCGTGGCCTCAATCTCTCTCTCTCTCTCTCTCTCTCTCTCTCTAAGTATATATATATATATATAAGTATATATATATATGTTTAAAAATGTTCGTGCAAAGCACAGACTATTATTACAGTATGTTTAAGTTTTGTATTTTGATAATTTTTTAAAAATTAGAATATTGTTTTATGAAATTGAATATAATAAATCATTAGATATATAATATAATTATATGGTATGACATGCATCATTTTTTGATTTGTTATATATCTAATGATGTAGACTCCAATTCTATTACCATATTTATGAGTCCTTAACATTTTTTTGAATTTATTAAAAAAAAGGGCAAATTACACATACCTCCCTCGAGGTTTAGCTAAATTACAGATACCCCTGAGGTTTCGGAAATTACAGATACCCCCTGAGGTTTATATTTTCATAACAAATTGCTCTATGAGGTTTATATTTTCTTAACAATTTGCTCCCTAATTTGTTATGCAAATAGTACCTTCAGGGGGGGTCTGTAATTTCTCAAACCTCAGGGGTATCTGTAATTTTGCTAAACCTCGAGGGGGTATATGTAATTTGCCCTAAAAAAAATTATGGATTGTAACTTTTTTTCAACAGATAAATATAAAACAAATATTTAAATAATTCCCCTATTTAAAAAAAAAAAAAAAACTATTAAGATAATTCATTGAACTGATAAAGAAGTCGAAGAAAATACATATACAAACAAATGACTAATTTTATTAATACATCAATCATACTTACATAACAAATGACTAATTTTATTAATGAGTAAATCATTAATTAAATTAACAATTTTTAATGATATGAAAACTATTTTTTAGTTAATCATTTTGCTAATAAATAAACATTAAGTCAATTAACCGTTTTTAATGATATGAGAAATATTTTTTAATAAATAATTTTGATAATTTATTATTGTATAGATGAATATTTTGTTTTCCTAATTTTGTGTTAAACTAAAATTTATAACGATAGTTATAATTTCTAATATTATATGACTGATTCATATTTTAAACAAACCTTTTAGAGGTGTATGTAATTTGTTAAAAAATAAAAGATATTTGTTTCATAATTGACTAAGAATATTTGCGCAAAAAAAAAAAAAAAAAACTTCACTCAACATATAGGTTACCATTAATAAAATATTCAAAATAAGAAGATAAAATCGAAAAAAAAAAAATTTAAACAACTGCTTCTTATATATATATATATATATATAGGGTAGTGTTTGAGTGTGCAACTCTTAAGGGTTGCATACCATATGCAATTTAGGTATAAATTATTCAATCAAAACAAATTGATCTTGACCCTTCAATATTTTAATGATTTAAAAAGGGTTACCTGTATAACTAGTTACCCTCTGATGGATCTAATTCCTTTACTTCAGTGCAAGAGGGAGCTCTTTTGTACTAATATGGTCCTCAAATTACTTTATTATTTACACAAGTTTTTGGTTCACAATTTTATATTATTTTTTATTTTAGTTTAAATATTTATTTTTTTTTATTTTTATTATATATATTATTTTATTTATTTATTTATTATTTTTATGCTTGAGATAGTAAATCTAGCGGTTGTTGAAAATATATAATTTCTTGAATTATTCTATCAGTTCTCTTTTTAGTAAATTTTATGTCTCTAACAACACAATATTTAGTAAATTTTGTAAAAAAATATGATGTTGTTGATAATTTGTGATTAATACTACTAATTGATTACGATCTAAATAAGTTTATAAAATATGCTATGCAATTTTGAAGCAATAGTTACATAATTATTATTTACAATATAATTATTCATAAGATAATAAATTAATTTGAAAGAATAAAAACTAAATTAAAATTTGAATCAAACTATAAAAGTGAAAAGTATAATTTATCTAAAATATTAAATGAAAATACAACAAAGCGATATAATGGATGCACAATTCAATTTGAAGTGAATTTCATTAGAATTGACATTGGAATTGGAATCAAATGATTGATGAATTGGATGATTTGGACATCATTAATTGATTATTGATTGAATCACTTTGCTGCCGCTAATTGATTGGGTAATTGACTAATTGATTAGATTACTTGTACACCACCAAATGATTTCCCAATCAATTGCCTATGTGGCAATTGCTTAAAAAATTGATTGAGCAATCGATTAGCAGGGTTGGTCACCACCAATAGTTTTTAGAATCGATTGAGAAAGCAAAATTGATTTGCCTCTTTATGTAGGTGATTTTAAGATTGAGGAAAATTAATTTTACTTCTCAAATTATCACTCATTTTGCAATCTATCTCATGTTATTTTACACTTAAACTATTGGCTATGATATCAATTTTATCTCTACCGTTATATGTTGTCTATAATCAGATAAAAATTGCTAACATGACACTGAAGTATAATATAATATAGTTAAATATAAATATAAATAATTAATAATTAAGAGTTGATCTCAAATATAATTAAATTAAAATTAGATTCGACATGTTAGGAATTACAATAAATAATTAAGAATTTAGAATTAATTGTGATTTAATATATAATTAAATTAAAATTAGATTAAAAAGTTAGAAATTATGAAAAATTATTAAATATTTAGGATTAATTGTGATATAAAATATAATTAAATTAAAATTAGAGAAAAAAGTCAATAATTGCAATAAATAATTAAGAATTAATAATTAATTGTGATTTAATTGAATTAATATTAGCCATTATAGATTATGTGTATGAGAGAGGAGAGAGAGAAAAAAGGTTTGAAAATATTACGGTCATTTCACATCTATAGTTAATGGTATTAATAGTTGCATTTTGGTCCAAAATTACATGGGACTTTCTGACTATATTTGAACCATAAAGGGGATAAAATACATTGACCTCAAACCACAAATAGTAAAATGACTTTTACTAAAAATATAAATATGAATATATATATATAGGGTAAAATTCATTTTACCTGTTGTGGTATGACTTAATAGCACTTTACCTTCTTATTTTTTATAAAAAAATAGTCACATACCTCCCATGTGATTTTAAACTAAAATATTATAGTTATTTAAATCATAACAAACTATTTTAATTTAATTTTTAATTTTTAACCTAATTTTTTATTTAATAACATTTTAAAATAAACATAAACATGCAAATACATATATAATAAATTAAATCATAAATTAAACTAAATACCCTAATTTATTATATAAAATTACCTTATTTAATAACATTTTAAATTAAACATATACATGATATATATAACAAATTAAATCATAAATTAACTTAAATAACTTAATTTATCACCATAAAATTAGATTCTAAAAGTACTTTAATATAATTTTTAACTCAATTTATTATTTAATTACATTTTAAATTAAATATGTACATATATATTTAACAAATTAAATCATAAATTAATTAAAATTAAAAATTAAGTTTATTAAAAAAATAATTAGGAAACTATAGTTTCATAAATTAGTTTTTAATTTTTTTTACTTAGTCATGGAGATAAATTTATTTATTTATTTACAAAGAGAGCCAAAAATAGA